TGTAGAAAAGTGTATTATGCAAAGATGAAGAGCTTGAAGCTGATTTGAATATGCAAATTGAATTAGAGTTGAAGAAGATGAAGTACGAAGTTATGGATGAAATGCAGCGATTACGAAGTGATGTTGAGAAGGCTATTCAAACTGAAGTTGATATGTAAATTTGCAACAAAGGGCAATACCATATGAAGCTTGTGATTGTTAAAAAAAATAGCTTAAAATGACATAAAATGGCATGTTAAGTGGCTATTTTGTGGTACAATTATCAGTGGGGTCCACTTCCGATTTGGGTCGGGTCAAAGTGGATTCGGATTCTTCGTAGTGAGATGAAGAGATCGATATATTGTACGCTCAAAACGTATAATTGGTGAATGAGATATTGATTATCAAAGTAGACCCATTTGAGTTGGAAAATGATGGGAAAAAGTGAGCTTTTGTCCCACATTGGTTTGGAAAGAGGATTTTCCCCCCTTATATACAAGAGCTCTTTTGAAGCTTGTAGAATTGTATAGCATAGAGTGCAAATCAAATTTCAACTAGACGAGATTGACAAAGGTTTGATTCAAGCCCGAGCTCGTGCAGGCACGAATGTCGTTCGGAGATTAGGAAAACTTCGGAACATTTTTCCAACACAATGCCACTACAAGCTGCCATTTAAGTTTCGACCATCATGGCCAAGTGGGCCGAAACTACAAGACAAGGCACCATGGCCGAAACTTCCAGTGGGAAGTTTTTCAATTGAAATCCATGGTAACGGTTGCTGTTACCAGGTGTAGTGGGGGGTGCCTTAAAGTGCCTTATTAAAAGTTATTGGCTCCTTCACCCTATATAAGAGAGGCAGTGAGAAGCAGATTTTTACACACAAGAGCACAAGCACTCTACACGAAACTTAGAGTTTTTCAAGCCTCAAAATTTCTACTTCTACTCCTTCTCTTTCTAAGCCTACTGTGTTCAAAACCTTGTCTTGCTCACCGGATTCTTTGTTTGAATGCTCAAACATTGAATCATAGCAAGTTTTATCCTGGGAAGCCTAGGCCACAACGCTCCTAGCATCTTTGGGATGTGGCAAATAAGGTTTTAAGGAAAGAGTGCTCGCTTGACTCTTGCAAAAACCCAACACCAAACACGAGCCAAATTTTCTCTATATTTCCTTCCCTTTCTTTCCAGAAAATAATAATCTTATTTTATTTGATTATTATTTGTTTTCTACCAACGGTTCCAACAGTGATATGGTATTTTTACGATGTCTGTATTTTTGTTGCCAAACCAAGTTTGTGATACAATTAAGAAGATTATGAATCGATATTGGTGAAGTAGTGGAGGCGGTCGTCATAAGGGTATTCATTGGTTAAGCTGGGCACGGTTAAGCACACCCAAAAAGTGTGGAGGTATGGGTTTTAAAAGGTTACGTGAATTTAATATTGCTCTTTTGGCCAAGCAGGGTTGGCAGTTAATGATTAACCTAGATTCTTTAGTGTGTAAACTTTTGAAAGCCAAGTATTTTCTAATGTGTAATTTTTTGGATGCTCATCTAGGTAATAATCCAAGCTATATTTAGAGAAGTATTCTTGCGGGTCAATAGCTTCTTAAATTAGGTGTTGCTCGTACCATTGGTGACAGGAATGATACACAAATTTGGGGTTGGTCATGGCTTGCTGATTCAGCTAACCCAACCCTTTTTACTTCATGTATTGAGGATTTAAAGGATGCCCAGGTTAGTGGTTTGTTAGATGAGCATGGTAACTAGGATGAGGAAATTATTCGAGACTTGTTTGATGTTACTGATGTGCAAAGAATCCTAGCAACGCCTATATCGCATCATTTGAAAGATACTTAGCGGTAGAAGGGAAATATTAGATGCATGTATTTAGTGAAGCACGGTTACCATATCTTCTCACTACCAACACCATGGTCACTGATCCTAACCTATCGTTCACTACATGGGAAAAGATATGGAAGCTTCCAGTGCCTCCTAAAGTGCAAAATTTACTTTGGAGGTGCGCACATAACATTGTACCAGTCCAGGAGATCCTAAAGACGAAACGAGTTTGGATTGGCGGTGATTGTTCGTTGTGTGCTAATGCTAATGAGACGACCGAACACATCTTTTGTGAATGCGAGGTGGCTCGTCAGGTCTGGGGTGAGAGTGATGTCCAACAAGGGAAGTCCCTATCTGAATTTATGGAATCTATTTTGTGTTTGTCAAATATGGACCGTCCTGTGCATATGGCTGTTGTTTGGTTATGTGGTGTATGTGTAATGAGAAGGTGTGGAGAGAGGGTAAGTGGACGGTGGAGGGCTTGCAAATGCAAGTCCAGGGCTTGCTTGTTGGTTGGCATGCAACTTATAGTACGCCTGTGATTGTAGTGCCAAACAATAATCCTTTGTCTTGATCCCTCCACCTCATCTCTCTCTAAAGTGTAATATTGATGTAGCGATCTTTGATGACGATGCAGGTTATGGAGCGCTTATTCGGGATCATCGGGGTCATTTCGTAGCAGCCAAAAGTGCCCGTCTAGGGTGTGATCGTGATTCTTTATTCTTTGTTGGCAGACGCGTTAGGCTTGAAAGAAGCCTTAGCTTGGATAAAGGAGCTCGAGCATAATAATATTATTGTAGAATCAGATTGTTTAAATTTTTGTCATGCTTTTACTTCTCATTTTTTAGCCTTTTCATATGTTGGTTTAGTTGTTAAGTAATGTCGTACTATTGATAGGGACATTGGGAACGTTTCTGTTCGCCATGTCAAGAGGTCAGCGAATCACGTAGCTCATGTGCTTGCACGGGCAACTGGTTCTTTGTCTGTCCTAGGTTCGTGGGTTTCTTCCCCGCCCGCCTGTATTGCTGAATTACTGAGTTGTTAATGCAGTTTGTTTCGTTTTGGTTTCAACAAAAAAAAAAAACTACTGGTTTGTGGAAGGGGGTGGTGGCAGCTCTCTAAAATTTTGTTATTCCACACAGCAAAAGCAAAGTGATGGCTAGCAGTCTGTGAAACATTGGAGGAAAATTTTAGAATTTATAAAATTTTTGTAATGTTAGTGTAACACCCCACTTTTCTTAAACTTATTTACAGTTCTAAAACCAAAATAAGAAAAACTAAGCAGCGGATAAACAAGGGGAAAAACTAAGTCATTAAATCAAACTAACATTTAAATTACTTAATTTAAAGTCACAAGGGGAAAAACACCCCGATGTCTATCACCAACCATAGGTAGCATAGGTCTACAATCCATCATCAAAACATCATAATAATAAAAAGAGTTTAGACTACTAGATCTACTAAGCTAGTCTAACTCGATCAACTCTCAAATGCTGGGCCCACCTGAAAGGGGTTTTGCAAAACAACAAGTAGACAAGTATAAAACACCCGTTAGCACGAAGCTAAGTATAACCACACTCAACCCTGTAAAGTACTACAGTATATACATTGGAAAAACATTTGCTCACATTCTCAAATCAAGCAATCTCAACACTTAGACAACTTTAAGATAAACTACAGACTTTCTATATGCTCGCAACCTATAATATCAACAGGCATGCTTCAACGATAAATAACTCATTAACATAATCACTCCAACACATATTTCTCATAGCAAAACTCCTCATAACGAACTCATGCTATCAAGCAATTGCATACTATCAATCAATACGAAAATATTATCATGCTTTCAAGTTCTCAACATGCAAACTAGATATATAAGACATCAAAATGCAACTAAAGCAATCATGCTCAAAATGCAATCTCGGCTATTCAATCTCATTATGCAATATAGTGCAAACATTCTCATCATGCAATCTAGTGCAACATTCTCATTATGCAATCTCGTGCAATACTATAAGTATACATATACACTCGTTTGTAAAATAGAATACTTTTCTGTGGAGGTCTCTTAGAGCCACTAGGACTCGCTTGCTTTCTTTTCTTAGAGTCGCAATGACTCGCTTTCTTGGAGTCGCAATGACTCGCTTGCTTTCTTTACTAATCGATGAGGTAGGAACTTCACCGTAGCGTGAATGAACCTATCGCGGTACGGCTTCTAGCCGACCTATACTCAAGCTCATCCACCGAACCACTCTCTTGGTTCTAAACGTACTCATCTCTGTGGAATCAGGTATCGAACTTTTAGCGTGCACACCCCCTAACCAGGATTTCAAGCCTGGCGGGCAGTTTCCAACCTCGTAACGTGGGAATATGCCGCGTTACATATATTTGGACCGCAATGTCCATTTCTTTCTTCCGAGTGGACGTAGTCCAAACAGGTCCTCCAAAACAAGGTTTTCCTAACCATAGATATATATAGATATATCGCTCATGCATCTCATATATGTAACATTTAACTTATGCAAAAAGACATGCACATACTTCTGAACTCATTCTTAAAAGACAAGATAAAGATGCTCTATGTGGAATGAGATTTTTGGAAAATAATATTTAGGCTCACGTTGGCCACTTATGCACTTTTAAAACATGATATACTCAAAATGGCATTTACTGTAACCACATGCTTCTACTTTCTATTCGTTGTGAAACTCAACAATTTAATAATCATGCTTGCAACTCAGAACTTAACAAATCTTCTAAAATACACTTAGCAAGTAGTTAGCATGCTACTTGAACTCAAAAATATACTCACAGTAAACATACTCAACATTATGAACTTGGCAGTGAACTTCAACAATTTATTGTAAATACTTTAGGCATGCTTTGCTAGCGAAAACCAAACATTTAGGCTCATGCTTTTCTATCAACTCTTATTCACAAAGTGTTCATGCTTCTCTATTCAACTACTCAAATATCATCAGGAAGGCAAAGGCAAGCAAATCCCAAAAACAGAGAACTCAGACAACATTCATGTGAAGCATTCCATCACAAAATTCTACTATAACATGCTCATTTCTAATCCAAATTCAACGAAATCAAAGCCCAAATGTGCGTCAAGACAGCCCCGAGGTACCGAGCCACAAGGGCCTGTGACACCTGGTCCGAAACGACATGTAGCTGAGCCGCAAGGGTCCGGCCACTGCACAGGGAGCAACACACGGACCATGGGGTTATACACTTTATAGATCAAAAGCTCTTAGGTAATATACGATGTTACTAACTGAGTAGTTTTAGGAAAATAATAGAATAAGTTTCAAATATCTTTGTGATCAAATATATATCTCATACATAGTTATATATGTATATATTCTCAAAATCAAGTATAACATTTCTCAAAACATATATACTCATATATATAATTCTTGAAATAGAGTTTTCTTGGCAAATCATAGCTTTTGGTAATTCAAATCTTTCTCAACATATTTATGATTTTCTATAAAAATACTTTTAAATATAAATAAAACCTTCAAGCCCAAATAATATAATATATACTCCAAGATAATTTCTTAAAGGTTGAAGTTGTTTAAGTGGAAGAGGCTTTGATTATTAAATAGGGGGTTAGGGGTTCAAATCCCACCTTAAACAATTTTCCCAAGCTAACGGATCTTGACTGTTAGACAAGGTTTCTGCTACTCTCTATTTTCCTTCTCTTAACCAAAATCACACAGCATATCAGCAACACCTAACTTAGGACAAAATACTAGATTCACCTAACCTCAAGCTAGATCTTCTTCTTTACCAATAATCTCATCTTAGAAATAAGCTACCTACTTCCTCAAGAATTCTTCCATCTCCAACCTCAAGCTAGGTCTTCTTCTTTACCAATAATCTCATTCTTAGAAATAAGCTACCTCAAGCTTCAACCTCAAGAATTCTTCCATCTCCAACCTCAAGCTATGTCTTCTTCTTTATCAATAATCACATCTTAGAAATAAGCTAACCAAAGGAAATGGGAGAAGAAAAATGAATTCTTCCATCTCCAACCTCAAGTTAGGTCTTCTTCTTTATCAATAATCTCATCTTAGAAATAAGCTAACCAAAGGAAATGGGAGAAGAAAAATGAATTCTTCCATCTCCAACCTCAAGCTAGGTCTTCTTCTTTATCAATAATCTCATCTTAGAAATAAGCTAACCAAAGGAAATGAGAGAAGAAAAATGAAGAAGAAGAAGAAGATGATAGGGGGGGGGGGGGGGTGTAAAGAGAGACACGAGAGAGCTGCAGATTTTCTTGGAGTGAATAGTGAAGCAAGGGAAGAATACTATTCTTTATAGTTAGGGTTTGGGGTAAATTTGTAAAATAACAATGTAGTGTTCACCTTGCATCATGAACCATAATCTAGAAAGATGATTTTTGAATAAATTGGGGTCAAAATAGATTTTCTAAAAGATAGTTCTAATTAAAACACTTGGTTCAGGTTTCAAAGGTTCCTTTCTGGTTTCACTCAGATTGACTTTTGGATAAAAAACTTGGTACGCAATGTAACCAAAAATTTAGGATTTTTGAATTAAAATAAGTTCCTGTGTTGAATTCATTTAAAATGTAACCCAAAATAATTTATTCAAACACCAAATTTATCTCAAAAATTTTTATAGAGTGAAAAATGGCTATTTTGGAATTTCTTAAAATCGAATTTGTAAAATAAAATTTTGGGTTGTCACAGTTAGATTGTAATTTGTATAGGTTTTAGCCTTGCACTTAGAAAATTGTAATAGCAAAAATTAAATGTACTAAGTTCGGTATTTCTGTCACCGGCACCCTAAACCCAGGATCAAGATCTCGGCATAAGCCCTACGAAGTAGGCAACTTTGGTCGGTTAAAAACAGACGTTGGGAGTAAGGTGCCCGTTTCAAAGGTCCTCGGACCAATTTGCCCAGTTATAGGGCATTGAGAGTAAGGTGCCCATTTCGAGAGTAAGGTGTCCGTTTCAAAGGTCCTCGGACCGATTTGTCCGGTTGTAGGGCGTTGCGAATAAGGTGCCCATTTCGAGGGTAAGGTGCCGTTTCAAAGGTCATCGGACCGATTTTCCTAGTTATAGGACGTTGGGAGTAAGGTGCTTGTTTCAAAGGTCCTCGAAACGATTTGCCCGGTTGTATGGCATTGGGAATAAAGTGCCCATTTTAGGAGTAAGGTGCTCGTTTCAAAGGTCCTCGGACTGATTTGCCTGGTTGTAGGGCGGTTGGAGTATGGTGCCCATTTCAGGAGTAAGGTGCCCGTTTTAAAGGTCCTCAGACCAATTTGCCCGGTTATAGGGCGTTGGGAGTACTTGAGCCCACATATTTGAAGCTACGACCAACTGAAGCAGAATTTTTTTTAGAACTTGTAAAATCTTTTAATTTGCTTTGTAAATTGTACATAGAATAGTAGTGTATTACGCCCGGTTAGGTTGGTATTGCCACCACTGGCACTCCAGCCCCGGGACTATATATCGGCATAAGCTCTACGAAGTAGGCAATTAAGCCCGGTTAGATCGGTATTACCACCATCAATACCCTTAGCCCGGGATGAGATCTCGGCATAAGCCCTACAAAGTAGACAACTGAGCCCACTAGGTCGGTCTTTCACCCCTTGTAAATCCAATATCTTGATTGGTAAATTAGATCACGAGATCATGTTAAAAGTCCAATCACATTCAATCTCTGATCTTCATCATATCGAAATCTGATCCCTCGATCGGTTAATTTAGACATCGTAATCTCTAAAGTCCTACAAGGTAGGCAAATCGACCATTGTTACCATAAGTACGGTCAGGTTGGCGTCCCGAGCACCGACACCGTGAACCCGATCGGGTCACTTCCCGAGCATAATGACCTTCCCGGTCTTATTATCGTTAGACCTCCAGGTCTCCAAACGCCCCTCCACTTGGGACTCTCAGTTCGTAAACCAAGCATAAAAGGGGAAAAACACCCCGTTCAAATCATTTCGGTTAAACCCCATCATAATGATTAACGTGGTAATCAAAACTAACCAAACGTGATCGGCTAAGAACGATCTTGAAACCAGGTAACGTAGGTCAGGGTTTGACCAAGCTCAAACTAGCTACTACCTATTAGCCCGAGTAGAGGGCATGGGGAAAAGCGTTCCCACTTATGATAAGTAATATCAATATTGGTCCCTAGACTGTGAATAAATCCAATCTCTTAATTGGTAAGACTTGATCACTAGATCTCATTAAAAATCCAATCTCTCGATTGGTGAAACCTGATTGGTAAAATCGAGTCCCTTTTCATGTTAAAAACTTAATCACTAGATTGCGAATAACACTATCAGTATGGTCCATATAGCTGTGTGGACTATGATCCACACAATAACAGTAGTGTAATATATCCGTCCGGGGAACAATAATTTCTAGTAGAATTGTTATGATCATAAGAGATGTAATAATTATATCAATCATTATTCATGGATCTCTGTAAAAGTATATTATTTTTTATACCCTATCAAATATTGTACATTTTAATACACAAATATTATATTTTTAGTATGTTAGAAATGTAGTTTAAAAAAAAATTGTTTGGTTATATCAGTAACATAGACTCAATCCATAGTGAGAATATATCAAATTCCTAATTTCTCTCTTTACAGGGAGGGTAAGCCCTGGCTATGTGCTGTTATGTTGTTACACAGTCCCCAATTTTAAGAGCTCAATTAAAATAAATAAATTAATTAATTAAAAAAAAAGATTGGGTTATAAACTACATGGGTGTATTCATATTTCATAACCACATTTATATTCATTATTAATGAAAAAAAGAAAAGATTGGGTGATATAACAATTGACCAAGTAGTGGTATGACAAAATGGAGAGCCACAAGTGTGGGCTACTACCCCTCTTTCTCATTTAGAAACTCTACTGCATGTACAATATGTAAACACCAAGACCATGAGAAACAAAGCACTATGATCTTAGGTAACATCATATCCATCAGTGCCTACAGAAAGATGCACATAGAACAGATCTTAGATAAAAGATGATAACTGGTATCCTATATTGCAATGAACAACAACCCATTCTGAGGAAATTCATCACCAAAGTTTGTCTTCTCAGAACCTTCATCATCGTCGTCAATCAAAATCTCCTCTGAACGGCAAGAAGAGCTGCAAAATGCTTTCTCACCTCTGCACAACATCAACAAGTAAAGTGCCGCCTTAAAATAACAATTAATTGGTTCATACATATACAAATGTAGAATGGCATGTTTTGGCAGACCTGTAAATGTAAATATCTTCACCATCCAATTCTTTCTTGCAGTGATGACAGAAGCTTAAGAAATCACTCGAGGGGTATGCAGTACGGTTTTTGAAACCGTCACTAGTCCCCATTGCCATTGGTAACTCAATCCCTTTTTCACCCTTCTTAGAGGAATCGGTGAGCTCGTGGTTGGGCCATTCTAAAATGCAATCCCCAAAAATATGAGTAACCTTAGGATAGGGACTGTGGGTTTTCACACACGTATAATACTCTGAACGCTGGATTTCAATTGCTGAAATAGAAGAAGCGGGTTTTGAGCTGACTTCTGGGTTCATTCCTTTCTCAAAAACCAAACTGCTAGAGATCAATTCGGAGTTGGAGTTGGAACAAGATAGCTGTGATCCAGACTGTCCAGAATCCGGTGAGCAAGAACGAATATCACCAAATGAATCTTGATACAATGGGGAATCTCCACTTACAAACAAAACATCAGAAGAACCGCTCTTTTCAAAACCCGGTGGCTTAGTCTGGGCACAAACTGTCTCAAAAGAACCAAAATGCATTTGAAAACTCTGCATTTGTGGTCCAAAAACAATACTTTTGCTCTCAGATCGTGGCGACGTTTTCCCCATCTGCTCCAACTCATCATCAAGAGAACCTATAATGCTCAGGCCCACCTTACTACAATCCCAAGGTTTCTGGCTCCCCTCATTCGATGACCTTCGAAACTTAAAGCGATTGGCAAAACTCGAGAAGACCCTCAAATCCAGTGTACAAGTCGGGCTGCTGAGTGAACCAGATTCTGAACCCTTTCGATTAAACCCAAGAAACAACCCCGGAATATTGCAAAAGGAGTTGTTTTTATGCTCCAAAACAAAATCATCAGAATGAGAATTGGTATCAGACATCAAGTGCTCAGCTTTCTGCTCTGATCTACTACGCTTCCTCAGCATCATCCCTAAAACCACACATCACACACCCCCCTTAACCTGATATTCCACCTATATCAAGAAAATCCAATAATTCCCAACTCTGAAATACAGTAATAATAAATAATAATAAGGCCAAAATTGATCTTGGCCTGAAGAAAATTCCCTCAACTGCATTACAGGAGAAACAGAAATTCTTCCCCAAATTAAAGCAGCTTTAGGATTGTGATATTATAATTACAAGTCATTAAAATTACATAAGGGAGATTCCCATCAATTCAAGAGCAACTTTTAGAAGCAATCTACCCAAAACTGCAATGCTAATAAATCAAGAATCTCCAAATAGGGACTTGCAGCTTCATTAGTGGAAGATTGAAGAGAACTATGAAAAGAAAACAAAATGCAATTTGATTAAGATAGATAAATCAAGAATCTCCAGAAAAAACCTAGCCAAAAATGCAAAAGAAACACAAAGAAGAAAGAGGTCCAGTTATGAATTACATGCAGAGATTATCAAAAAATGGAAAAGAAAATCGAAACTTTATCACCCTTTAGTATCAAGAAAATCCAAGAAAAATATTTGGAACAATGCATATATACACACATATTATGATTCCATGCTATTGTATTAGAACAATAAAAGCTTGCCTTTTCTTTTCCAGCTTCAAGCCTTCAACTGGGGAAGAAGAGGAAGAAGAAGAGATAGAGAGTTATCTCTCACGGTTTTTGTGTTTATGCGTTTCTCTCTCTTGCATTTACATGCATCAAAATTAGAGTATTGAATTCCTCACCACTTTTTCTCTCTCTACAAGATTGTGATGGTATACGACTGGAAATACGTATAAATACATGTATATCTACACACTGGATGTAATGAGTGAATGTTCATATAGTGTATTACTGTGTACTAAACAACCAATGTACCTGTGCATGTTTCTTGGCCAAATTCATTGACAGTAATGGACCCAAAACCCATATCCTGCAGGCCTTATAGTTAATAGTATTATTACATCACTCCAAGTTATACTTTTCACGAAGTAACCATCCACATTAATTCATATGAGATAGGCATTGTATCCATTTTTAGAATACACTATAACAAAGAAAAATGCAATCCTAAATTCAATACTAATGTCATATCATATCATATATTGAATAAGAGTGTCTTTAAAAACCTGAAAAATTATTTATGGAAAACATATTTTGGATTTCTAATGTTTGGTAAATGGTGAAAAATTAAAGTTAAAGAAAACAACTCCTGGTCAAACGGAAATTGTCTTTGTTTTCCTTGAAAATAAATTCTCTCTTTTTTTTTTTTTTTTGGGAAGTAATTTTACTGGATCCACACACACTTAAAAACTTCCACCACCACCACTATCACACTACCACAGCCGCCGCCACCACCACGACCTCCATCGCAATCACCGCCACCCCACCGCCACCCCACCACCCCAATACTACTACTACTACCACTACCACAACCACAATTTATATTATTATTATTATTATAAATGTTATTATATTCTAAACAAAACAATTAAAATGTTTTGTTTTACAATTCTGCTCATTTTTCAGAAAAATGAACCAAACACACCAAGACAATTTTTTAAAATGCAACCAAACATTGGAAATGAAAATGTTTTCTGGAAAATGACTCATTTTTCAAAAAACATTTTCCACGAGTCATTTTCCTGATTTCAAGCACACCTTAACGTTGCGTTTGGTTGGAGGGAGGGAATTACGTGGAAAATGAATTGCAATTCCATTGGAGATGAATTACTGGGAATAAAGTGGGAATTTAAATTCTAGTATTTGGTTTACAGGAATATAATTACTGAGAATTTCAATTCCAATGTTTGGTATACATGGGAATTGAAAGGGAATAAGTAGTATAAAGTCCAAAATGCCTATTGTTGTTGTAGGCATCAATTAAGTTAAAAAAGGGAGAGGTAATTTTGTATCATGATTATCTTTTTTTTTTCTTCCTAAAATCCATGGAATTAAAATCCAGGGGGGAATGAGATTTTAATTCCATGAAAATGAGGGAATTGCAATCCAATGGAATTGTAATTCCTTCCAAGCAAACTAAGGAATTTAGTGGCCTTTGGGATTAGGTGGGAATTAAATGTGAATGAAATTTAAATTCCCTCCAACCTAACGTCGTGTAAGAGTAAAATGAAATATAATGGATATTGATGGAGTCATGGGTCCTAGGCCCACAAACTATTTGACTTGAAAAGAGGAAAGCCCACAAGACATGGAGGGAAGACTATTAGACTTGGAAGAAGTGAGAGGATCATTATTCTATGGACCATGATTTACACAGCTGTGTGGACCACAAATAAATTAAAAAGTATATTATTTATATACATAAAGTACATTATTTGAGTATTGAAAGTACATTATTTTGTATACTATCTGATGGGGAATATACCCCGGCATACTGACCATTCCTTTACCGAAAACCTGCTCAGATGCGACTCCACAGGTGATGAAGGATTCACCTGACCGACTCGACCTGAGAGTTCAGTAGCCGAACGACATGTAAGCTGTTACTCTTAGCCTTTGGTGCCCGGTCCCGATTCGGGCGATCGGCTGATGGAACCGAGCCCAAGATATAAGCCCTTAAAGAAGCATATTGATGATAACCGAGCCCGTAAGCTATTGGTTAGACAGATACCCTTCAACACGTGGACGCCTTATCATTAGCCGCCAAAATCGCCGAATGCATGGAGGAAACGTGGTGTACATGTCGACATCCCAGCATGTGTCCCCTCCACTCTTCTATAAATACCACACTAGACGCTTGTAAATGGAACTTTTGGCTCTCCCTCTAAACTATTCATATATTCGGAAACCTCCAACCTTCGGTCTCAGTAACCCGAGCCTTTGGAACAAAATACTCCTTAATAGGAGATACGAATACCGACATTCAGTAGAATTTAACGCATCAGTTTGCACTACAAAAATAAAGACATTTAGTGACAAATCTTTTGTGACACTTCATAATTTAGTCACAAATAATAGCATTTTTGTGACCAAAAAAAATAATTTGACACTATTGTGCGGTGTAATTGTGATAGCTTTTTTTTTTTTGTCACAGATAATATGGTAATTGTGACGAGTAAGTATTTGTTACGAATAAGTTGTCACTATTACTAGAATAATAGCGTCGTAACATGTGTTGTCACTATTTATTGTCACTAAATGTATGTTTATTTTGGCGCCATTATAACTATAGCGGGAACGAATGTAATTGTGACAAAAAACAATGTTGACACAAATTTTTGTACTTTTTGTGACAAATAATTGTTGGTCACTCTTGTTGATAATATTCGTGACAACGTTTTTTGTCAATAAAAATACAATTGATTTATACCATTAGAAATGAGAAACAATTGTGAGAAGAAATATTGTTGTCACTAATATTGTCATTTTTTGTGATGAAATTGTTACAAATATTTGTGACGCTCTATAATTCCGTAACAAAAATTACTAAATTGTGAGAATAATTGTGTTGATTTCCTTTTTTTGTCACTAGTTTATTATAATTGTGACGAGTAATTAATTGTTAGAATGACTTCACCACTATAGTTAAATAGATGGATATTGTGTGAAATAAATGTAATTGTGAAAATACATTTTATAATCACTCATTTTTAAATGTTCTTATGTGACAGATAAGTTCACTATTACTTATTTTACTAATTTTTCATATTAATTTTTTTAAAAAATATACATGTATATGTTTAGTACCAACAATATATTTCAAAAAGATTTATTAAAATTAACCATTCAAACTCAAAATATTTTTTTTTTTGAAAACTTCAAACTCAAAATATAAAAAGTAAAGAATTCAAAAGTTATAAATACAAATTCATATAGTACTCAATTATCATCATCATCTTCATCACCACCTTCATCATCTTCAGATGTTGGAATCTCATCATCATCATTAATAAAAGCATCTCCATCAGTATCAATTTCATCTTCTTCAATACTCATGGTATGAACATTTGATGAGTTTATTTCAATAGTTGCAGCATCCAAATCAGACCTATGCAATACCATAACATCATTATTATATATCTTCCAAATTAGAACCTTGAATGATAAATGTGAAACCCGATTTTTTTTAGCCCTTCTAAATTCTTCTTTTTCGGATTGATCATTCATTTCTTTTATAATCATGCCTTAAAAAAATGACATTATCCTTATCCTATTATTATTGTTTTAAATAAATACAGAATAAAGTATGTATAATTATAATGTTTGAATATAAATATGTGGGTAATATTTTGAAATACAAAATAATTATTTTAATATAAAGTGTGTACATATCATTTTGAGTCATATAATCATATATGTACATTTTATATACTTATGTATTATATGTGTAGTACATATATTATTTGTATGTAAGTTATATATATATATATATATATATATATATATATATATATATATTAATTATAGATACTACACGCCACACACACATAATTACCTCTATATATATATATATATACACACACACACACACACACGTGTGTTGTTAAATAATATATATATATATATATATATATATATATATATATATATATATATATATATATTGGTTATAATTACCTTAATAGATATATATTGTATGCTTTTATATGATAGAAATCTTTAGGTAATTGGCTAAAATTATTCTTTCCATTAATTACTAAGTTGACTAGGGTTGGATGATGATCAATATAGATATTCTCTTCCTTCTTTTTTCCTACCTTGGCCGATTTTACTAGCAAAAGAAAAAAAAAATCATCTCTTCTTCTCATCTCTTCATTTTTGAAATTCTGAAAAAAAAAAAAAAATCTTCTCCTATTCTTCTCAAGAGTTGAAACAAACTACTCAGGCCTAAGGAGGAGAACTTAGAGCATTAAAAGATTAAAAAGATTTGGGAAGAATTTGTTCCAAGTAAGTGGTTGTCCTTTATCTTACTTTGCCCATCTTTTTTTTTTTTTTTAATGAATTTTTGTTTGGTTGAAAGTTATGAATCAAATTAATTATTTTATGAAATGACCAAGTGTTATCTGAAAATTTTCGTATGATGTATTAGTCAAAAATGCATAAATATGAGATTTTGGTTGGTTGATTTTGTTGTATGAATCATATCTAGATAAATTATATTCATAATAGTTGAAATATATAATTTTTTAGTATTGAACATGTATTATGCTAAAAAAAAAAATTAGTGTAATATTTGATTTATTATATGTTCTGTAGTTACACATGCATATATAATTTTATATTTTGTGCATTTGGCTAGTATTATTTGGAAAAGGAACTGTGACCAAGTAATGGTCACAACAAAGTAATTATTGATAACACTTTTTTGGTCACTGATAATCATTTTTCCGTCAAGAACAAT